CCCCCCTTAGAAATGATTTTCCACTTAGAATGGCCCTTTTGCGCTGAAATTTTCCGTAATGAGTGATCCTGGAGAGATACGCTTCCGATAAAAATTTCAGCTCGATTGGTCGTACTAGACCGGAGTTCCAGCTGATTCATAGGTCATTTTTGGCCTTCAGGAGAATCGATATAACTTCGTCATAGCAAGAGGTATCGAGCTCGGGCTGGTCTCAAATTAAAGCTAATGTCAGTACGCAACTTTTGTCCGAACAGAATTTTCAAATTCAATCTTATTGATTTTTTATGAGTATTTTAGTGGAAGGGTCTAAAAATCAGCATAAAAAATGGTAATCTAAAGACAGTAAATTCCACTTTTCTCATCGCAGGAATCGACTTTAAAAAAAACTGGTCGGGCAAAAGTTTACTCTCATTGAGACCTTTAAAACAAAAAAAAAACATCGGTGATCTGCCGAGCCAAGCCAGAGTTATTTCAATTTTTCGGTCTAGAAACCATGTTTTGAGAAAAACGCTAAATTAGTTTTAGAAATGAGTTTTTCGTTCAAATTCGAAAAAAACACATTAAAATAGCATATTTCCAATATATTTCATAGAACTTTATAAAAGCGCGTAACTGATGCAGTTAACTAACGCCATTTGACATGCTGCTTAATATATAAAAATATTCCGAACGCAAATTTTCCAAAACTGAAAACCTTTAAAACTACGAAAATTTCTCCGAAAACATGGTAGTAGATTTTAAGTTTCATGTGGTAAGTTTTTGAAAATCTGGTCATTTTCAAAAACTCTATAGATATTCTGATAAAGGAAGATTCGCTGCATCTTCCTATAATAAAATCTCAACTTCGATATTTCCCTGAAAAACTCGATTTTCTAAGGGGGGGCCCTCCTTAATGGATTTATAAAACATTTTAGATAAACAAAATATCTCTCGTCGTTTTGACGATGAATTAAATTATTTGATGCCTATTCTATAACTTACTATGATGCAATTCTATATATTTTTATTCAATGATAGACCAATAACTAGGCCCCGCAGTGGTCCTTCTTTTCTTTGAAAGTCCTTCTTTTCCTTCTCTTTTTACTTTTCATATGAATAGGCTCTAAGAAACTTCGGAAAACATATGAGCAATGCTTAGATAGAGAGTTCTCAGAGCTCCAGAAAATGTTTAATTCACCACAAGTCCAATAGAAAGCTCGCTATAATTATGTTAAGGTATGCATATAAGACTTGAATTTACGGGGCACATATGTACAGGACTTGAGATAGGGTGTGGGTGGGTGTGGGGTGTGAGTGGGTGTGGGGTGTGAGTGGGTGTGGTGTGGGTGTGGCGTGTGTGGGTGTGTGTGGGGTGTGGCTGTGGCTGTGGCTGGGGTGTGGGGGTGGGGGTGTGGGTGTAGGTGGGTGTCAATATGAAAAAGAGGAAGACAC